GGCTATCCACATATACAAACACAGAGATAATTTCAACCGAGAAGATGGATTCTGGCTTAGCAATCATTGGAAAGATTTGATAAACCATTTCAGGTCTTAATTGATTGTTCACGCTTACAGTGGCTTTCAGACAGCATACTTTAATTTTTTGTCTCCCCCCTCCTCTTTTCCGAACATAGATGGACTCGTCCTTCTAGATAAACTGCCAAATCGCTGCACGTGGCGCTGACGTTTTTTCTAAAAAATAAATAAATAAATACACCGTTTAAAAATAAATAAATTTATGCAAACCGACACACCTGATGACGACCGTTTGTGTTATCGTCGAAACGTCGTGAGAATTTTTATTGTTTTATATGTATTTTATTATTTTATTGTTTCCCTTCATCGTGACTTTACCGAAAGAGCTAAGAATATGAATTACTGATGTTTTCTCTGTGAATATGATAGTCGTGCGAGAGATTCCCACTACATCAAGATAGATTTCCCACTCCAACAGTTATTGGAGCCTTGGAGGAAAAGTGTTGAGCATCCACCACTTGCTTAATCAAGGAAGATTTTGTTACCACCCTTACACATCAAGCTGAGTCTGATGAAGAACTTTGTCAAAGCCATGGACAAAACACAGGCAGCTTTAAAGTACCTCCGTGGAAAATGTCCAAGGTTAAGTGAAGCTAAGATAAAGGAAGGTGTCTTTGTTGGTCCTCAGGCTCGTGAACTTCTTCGAGATTATGCATTTGACAGTGCACTGCGTAGCAAGGAAAAGATGGCATTTAAAGCCTTCCAGTTAGTGGCAACAAATTTTCTCGGAAACAACAAGGCAGACAACTACAGAGAGTTGGTGGAAAACCTCCTCAAGGCATACAAAAGCCTTGGTTGCAACATGTCACTAAAGATACATTGTTTGCACTCTCATCTCGAGTTTTTCCCACCGAACTGTGGAGCGGTGAGCAACGAGCATGGCGAGCGATTTCACCAGTACACTGCAACAATGGAGAAACGCTATCAGGGCAAATGGAGCCCATCAATGCTTGCAGACTATTGCTGGACAATGACAAGAGATGCTCCATTTAATGAATACAAGAGACAAGCCAAGAAGCGCCGAGTAGACACTGAATAAAGACTAAACTACGTACTTATAGCTACAGTGAGGGAAACAAGTATTTGATCCCCTGCTGATTTTGTACGTTTGCCCACTGACAAAGAAATGATCAGTCTATAATTTTAATGGTAGGTTTATTTGAACAGTGATAGACAGAATAACAACAAGAAAATCCAGAAAAACGCATGCCACAAATGTTATAAATTGATTTGCATTTTAATGAGGGAAATAAGTATTTGACCCCCTCTCAATCAGAAATATTTCTGGCTCCCAGGTGTCTTTTCTACAGGTAACGAGCTGAGATTAGCAGCACACTCTTAAATGGAGTGCTCCTAATCTCAGCTTGTTACCTGTATAAAAGACACCTGTCCACAGAAGCAATCAATCAATCAGATTCCAAACTCTCCACCATGGCCAAGACCTAAGAGCTCTCCAAGGATGTCAGGGACACGATTATAGACCTACACAAGGCTGGAATGGGCTACAAGACCATTGCCAAGCAGCTTGGTGAGATGGTGACAACAGTTGGTGCGATTATTCGCAAATTGAAGAAACACAAAAGAACTGTCAATCTCCCTCGGCCTGGGGCTCCATGCAAGATCTCACGTCGTGGAGTTGCAATGGTCATGCGAACGGTGAGGAATCAGCCCAGAACTATACGGGAGGATCTTGTCATTGATCTCAAGGTAGCTGGGACCATAGTCACCAAGAAAACAATTGGTAACACACTACGCCGTGAAGGACTGAAATCATGCAGCGCCCGCAAGGTCCCCCTGCTCAAGAAAGCACATATACATGCCCGTCTGAAGTTTGCCAATGAACATCTGAACGATTCAGAGGACAACTGGGTGAAAGTGTTGTGGTCAGATGCGACCAAAATGGACCTCTTTGGCATCAACTCAACTCGCCGTGTTTGGAGGAGGAGGAATGCTGCCTATGACCCCAAGAACACCATCCCCACCGTCAAACATGGAGGTGGAAACATTATGCTTTGGGGGTGTTTTTTTGCTAAGGGGACAGGACAACTTCACCGCATCAAAGGGACGATGGACGGAGCCATGGATCATCAAATCTTGGGTGAGAACCTCCTTCCCTCAGCCGGGGCATTGAAAATGGGTCGTGGATGGGTATTCCAGCATGATAATGACCCAAAACACACGGCCAAGGCAACAAAGGAGTGGCTCAAGAAGAAGCACATGAAGGTCCAGGAGTGGCCTAGCCAGTCTCCAGACCTTAGTCCCATAGAAAATCCGTGGAGGTAGCTGAAGGTTCGAGTTGCCAAACGTCAGCCTCGAAACCTTAATGACTTGGAGAAGATCTGCAAAGAGGAGTGGGACAAAATCCCTCCTGAGATGTGTGCAAACCTGGTGGCCAACTACAAGAAACGTCTGACCTCTGTGATTGCCAACAAAGGTTTTGCCACCGAGTACTAAGTCATGTTTTTGCAGAGTGGTCAAATACTTATTTCCCTAATTAAAATGCAAATCAATTTATAACATTTTGACATGCATTTTTCTGGATTTTGTTGTTGTTATTCTGTCTCTCACTGTTCAAATAAACCTACCATTAAAATTAGAGACTGATCATTTCTTTGTCAGTGGGAAAACGTACAAAATCAGCAAGGGATCAAATCCTTTTTTCCCTCATTATACATAACAGTTTTTTGCCTTTTGTTTCATAATGTATTTTATGTATATAACCCTTTTTCTGATTTTTAAGTGTTACATGAACAGGACAGGTGACGTGTTATCATGTAAAGCAACCATGAACACATGAAAAGACCTAGGTTTATTATCAATTTATGAGTAAAACTCTACTATCTACACAATATACTGTCCATAGACGTGAAATGTAAAAACTTAAATATCTTGGGAACAGTAGCCAATCAGTTGTTGTAATTGTCATATTTGAATTCAGCACATCAAAATCCATAATAAACAGCACATTTCATCTCTGAAGCAGATGATGTCTAAACAATTGTAGGCCAGTGTTATCAGTGTGTATCTGCAGAAATTACTTTTATTATTCCTGCAGGTGTCTGGGTACAGGCGTATTGTGGAATGAATCAGCCGCCACTTATCCGTGACTCCATCTTTATCTGTGGAAAGCTATGCATAATAAGACTTTCTGCAGAACGAATGGGTTGCACAAAATAGGAAATGCAGATGTTTAGGTGGGAGGGTAAGGGGATGTTTTCCTGTGAGAGAAAATGGAGATGTTCATTGCATGTATGGAGCAGCTCAGTTATTTTACTTGGCTGTGTTTGCCTGATGTGCAGCACGAACATAACCTCCTGGAGGCCTGAGTGGACAGAGCACACTCGGAGCGTTCACTTGCTGCGGTGGCGGGATGTTATCTACCTCGACTGGTATACAGGAGGTCGTGGGTTCGATCTTGACCCTGACGCCTGTATATTTGGAGTTTGCATGTCTCTCTCCCCCTGGTCCTGTGGATTTCTAACCGGGTTTTCCGGTTTTCCCCTCCACATTTAGAAACATGCGTTTAGAGTATTTGGCTACTATCCATTTCCACGTGATAAGCCACTGCATTGAGCTATCATTTGTGGCCAGGTCGCTTTTCAAAGAGCCATATAGCTCAGTGGGCCTTACCTGGTAAAATTTTAATAGTTTTTAGTTTATTAAAGAATTGGTTTTACCCTTTCTGACAATAAAACAGGTTAAATTTTGATTTAAAGCTTTCGTGACTGCAGTGAATATAATAATAATAAAACAGGTGTTAAGATTACTCATTGTTTTTTTCGGTAAAGTCACGTATGTAGAAATACAATAAAATTATTTTAAAACAAAAAACAGTCACGACGTTTCGATCACAACGCAAGCAATCTTCATCAGGTGTCAAGAACAAATCACGGAGGTAAATACAACAAAAAGATGAGAGACGAGAATTCAACAAACCTGAAAAAAACATTATGTGAAGCACATCCAGTCAGGCCAACAACACAGTTAGACAATTCCTGGCGGACCACGAATTTCAGAAGTGTTAAATTTCGTGTTCAATTTAACACTCTTCTGAAATTCGTGGTCCGCCAGGAATTGTCTAACTGTGTTGTTGGCCTGACTGGATGTGCTTCACATCATGTTTTTTCAGGTTTGTTGAATTCTCGTCTCTCATCTTTTTGTTGTATTTACCTCCGTGATTTGTTCTTGACACCTGATGAAGATCGCTTGCGTTGTGATCGAAACGTCGTGATTGTTTTTTTAAAATATAATTTTATTGTATTTCTACATACGTGACTTTACCGAAAAAACCAATGAGTAATTTTATGCAGTCACGAAAGCTTTAATACTTTAGGTGTTAAGATGTTAAAACACCAAGGAATCATGTCTGCATTAACCACATATACTTGTGGTGAACATGCAAACAAAAAACATACTCTGGCCGTATATGCATTGTCTTCGAAACTGATTGGTCCACACCAGAGACAGCTTTCTTTAGAGCCTAGTCTCAAACAGTGTGAGTCCAGAGGAAGCCAAAAGGCGAAAAGCACAAAGACAATGTTCACCACAAGTACTGTGTGCGGTTAATGCAGACTTGATTCCTTGAAAAAGGTTTCAATTTGGTGTTTTAACATCTTAACACCTGTTTTATTGCCAGAAAGGGTAAAACCTATCCCCTATTCTTATATTTTGATACTGGCAAGAAAGGTCCAATTAAGTGTTTAGTTTAGTTTGCTGGCAGGTGGGCATTTAAGCCTAGCCATGGCTTTGTGTGTTTTGCCATCAGCTCTGGCATGGCAGAGCAATCTCCCAGCCTAAAATACCCCTCAGCCAGTATGTCAGCGAGTGAGATGTGGCATTAGGGTTCCACCGTTTGGGCACAAGGGCCCAACTTTTGTGCTTACTGCCCCTTTTTGCTTGCTTCTGTCGCTCCTTTACAGTTTCAGAAGCCGGATCAGCAGTCACAGACATTTCGCTTTGGCACGGTGCCCAATGGCAGCACGGAGCGCAACATCCGAAACAACTACCCCGAGATGCATGCGTATATGTCCCGCTACAACCAGAAGAACGTGGCCGAGGCCTTGCGAAGCCTTAAGAAAGGGTAAGTGCAAGTTGGAGCGGGAGGCAGTTGCCATAGTTACCCGGGTTTGTCGTTGCCCACTCACGTCGTTATAATAAAGACTTGACTTGTTTAATTAATAGACTAGGGTAAGTTTAGCAAGTCCAGGCGGGTATCGAGCATTTAAGCCACAAGCTTTAAAGTTAAGGACTGGGAATTTGAGACCGGGTGGTCCACCTCTTCCTACAAAGTCTAAAAATAAGAGGGATGGGTGAGGAGGTTGCGGGGTACGTGGGAGACTGGGACGGGGCTAAAAGAGGGGCGGACCCCTCGACAGATGAGAGGAGGCGAACCTCGGAGCAAAGGGAGACTGATACCCATGCGTGTATATTATTTGATTTGTAGGATGTTGCTTTACTACCCCCCCCTTCTCCCATGCCCGTCCTATCCCTGGTATTCCCTTACTATGCTGATTATCTCCCCCCCCCTTCCCCACCCCATAAAAATCTTCACTGGTCCCCCATTACGTGGGATTCCCCTCCCCCACGTGATTGGGACTAGCAGCCCCCCCCTCCCCCGATTTCACCTGTCCTAATTACTCTGTACTCGACGCACTGGCCAGAAATTCCTGTGGATTTCCCCCCCCCCTTCCCCACGCTCGCCAATTGAACAGCGACAACGTGTTGCACCAGGCCCATGTTTTTGTTGCAAATAAAAACAATCAAAGGGGGCGAAGTGCCGCTGAGTCTAAAGCACGGAGGTGCGACAAAGGGCTTGCCCCCACCTAGAACCCCGTAGAGAGCTCGCTGTGATCGCTCTGTTCCCCTTTGCTGAGCATAAGGAGAAGTTTGAGGTTCACGGACAGCCGAGGAGAGCGGCAGACTTCCAATGCCATGAAGCCTAGAGGCTTTGGAGAATCATGGTTGAAAGCGAAAAGCGCTTCTTACCCTATGTTCTCGAATTCATTTTGTGATGCTGCATCACGGCAGCGGTGTGCAAGGACAATAACAAAAAAAAACTCGTAAAAGTTATTGTCGAATGTGTCGATAAGCAGTGACACAGTGGTTAGCGCACTGCCCATATCAGGGGCGGGTGACACGTGAACTTTTTCCGTGATCCCACATTAGACCAATCCGCACTGACCTGTGTGGTGAAGTATGGTCAAAGAACGTCCCATGACAGACACAGCATGGGTAGGCCTTCATCTAACAGTGGAATGGCAACGGGCTCTGGGTAATTATTATTATTGTTATGTCATTTAGAAAGTTGCTTGTTCACATTTTTATGGAAATGCAAAGCAAACTTTCTGCCTCGTTTTTATGTTTGACTTTTGTGATGTGGGTGACTCAGGGTCACTCCTTTACAAACGAGACAATGCTCCGTCGAGTTCTCACCCCGGTTAAACAAAATTAACTTGAATTTTGTTGTTATTTTAACCGAAACAATCGCCAAACTCAACAACAACAACAAAACACCGCGTCTATGACTGCAGCAAGCTGGACGCGTTCATCTACGACGCCGCGGTGCTCAACTACATGGCGGCCAAGGACGAGGGGTGCAAGCTGGTGACCATTGGCAGCGGCAAGGTGTTCGCCACCACGGGCTACGGCATCGCGCTGCAGAAGAGCTCCAAGTGGAAGCGGTCCATTGACCTGGCCCTGCTGCAGTTCTTTGGCGACGGTGAGTTTCCGCCGCTTTTCCGTCGCATTTTGTACAAATAAACCACGATACCTTGCTGATCTCGTCAAGGTAGCATAAACCATCATTACGCGAACTCCGGGTCACCCTTGCACCAGCAGCGGCTTTTGGCTGGCTATCTAACAAAGACGATCACTGCATCGCGCACTTTTAGATGCACTTCTGCGACCATCTGGAACGCTATTCCTTCCGATGTTAGGAAGCCAACAGGAGCTAAGCACTTTTAAATCACCTATATTGAAAACTAATATCTTTAGAATTTATTTTCGTGTTTAGTTTATTGTCCTTCACTCGCACACTTGGCTATGTATGATGTGAAATAAGTTCAACATACATAAGTTCAATCATTTGCCTGTGTTTCATATTCACAGGACTAAACTTAATTCCACTACTGATATCGATTACTCCACCGATGTTGAGCACTCAGGTCTACCAGTCACTCCATCTATACTATGCTCTACCACCAGACTGCAGGTCCTAATAACACACTCACTCACAGGATCACTCACTCAACCAATCACTCACCCACTCACTCACTCGCTCACCAACTAATCCTCTCACCAAACTGCAGATCACAACACTTCTCTTTCTGCTGTTTTTCTCACACTGCTCCACTTTGGAATTCCCTCCCGTCTTCTCTTTCCCCAAACTCTCAAAACCATGCTCAATTCAAAAAACGTGTTACACTCTTATCTATTACAACTTTTAAAGTGTTGTTTGTTCCTGGATGCTTGATGTTTTGAGCCTTTGGTCCTGTGCTCAGAAACCATGTAACAAAAAAAACCTCCTTCAATACATTCATTCATTTCATCGTCTTCAGCAGCCATGATCACGCCACTGCTCCAAGGTTGAATGAAGGCCTCCCTCCCTTCGTCGTCATCATCCATCATGTATGTATGTATGTGTATGTTGAACTTCTTTCACACTGTGTGTAGCTAAACGTGCTAATCGGAGGTGCGGGGGAAGGATAACAAACTAAACACAAAAAACAGTTTTAAAGAAATTACTTTTCAATCTACATTTAAAAGTGCATAGCTCCAGTGGCTTCCTAATATCGGAAGGAAGAGCGTTTCAGACGGCCGCAGAAATGCATCTGAAAGCGCGCAATGCAATGACCATCTTTGTTTGATGGCCAGCCAAAGCTGCCGCATGGATGACCGGAGTTCGCGTGATGGTTTACGTTTCTTGACGAGATCACCATGGTATTGTGGCTCATTTATGGCAAGCACTGTGTAATGAGTGCGACCTTACATATTCGTTTGGCAACCGAAAGCCAATGCAGCTCGGCGAGCACTGGACGGACATGGTCAGATCTTGCAGTACTCATCACGATACGTGGCAAAGAATTTTGTACACGCTGCAAGTTGGTAATGTGTTTGGTCTTGGGATGACATAATCCGTCTCGCTCCTGCGCATGAACTAATCCCATGGTGCCATCCACGTAGCTATCATCCTCTTGGGAACATTTCATCCACTTGGCTGCCATTTGGTAAACCAATCTTAACCATTGACCATCACCCCTCATAGCCATGTGATCTTCCCACACCCCCACTTGCTGTCCCTAACACTCTTTCTGTCTCGGGGTATGATTCTGGGCATGCGCCTCTTGCACACTGTTCAGCTTGTTTCATTTATTTGGCAGTCTCCGTGTTTCTGATCCATATGTCATAGCAGATTACAAACGCTCTTATTTAGGCACCTTGTTATGTCGCTTCACGTTATGAACATCAGGTTGCCAAAAGTGCTCGAACATGCTCTTTGTCATCAGCAAATCTCAGATGATTATATTTTCTACAATTATTTAGTATGCCTGTATTTATCCAATCCATGTAAAGGAAAACATACATTAATAATGTTGGCGACAGCGTATCCCTTACCTGATTTGTAATTTGTGATAAGAGAGGGGGGAGCTGGTAGAGAGATGTAGAGAGGCGTGCTGAGAGAGGGGAGAGGATGCAGTGAGAGTGGGGACAGCTGGATGAGAGAGAGGAGAGAGCAGGGTAGGAGAGAGGGTAGAGCAGGTTAGGGGAGAGCAGGGTAGGGGAGTGGGGAGAGCAGGGTAGGAGGGTAGAGAGCAGGGTGGGAGAGAGCAGGGTAGGGGAGTGGGAAGAGCGGGGTAGGAGGGAGGGGAGTGCAGGGTAGGAGAGAGGGTAGAGCAGGGTATGGGAGAGCAGGGTAGGGGAGTGGGGAGAGCAGGGTAGGGGAGAGGGGAGAGCAGGGTTTGGTGAGAGCGGAGAGCAGGGTAGGGGATTGGGAAGAGCGGGGTAGGAGGGAGAGGAGAGTAGAGTAGGAGAAAGGGTAGAGCAGGGTAGGAGAGGGGGGAGAGCAAGCTATGAGTGGGGAGAGCATGGTAGGAGAGCGGGAGAGCATGGTAGGGGAGTGGGAAGAGCAGGGTCGGGGAGTGGGGAGAGCAGGGTAGGGTAATGGAGGGAGGAGGGTAGAAGAGAGGGGAGAGCAAGGTAGGGGAGTGGGGAGAGGAGGGGGAGAGAGAGTGACTCAAGTCCCCGGGTTTCTTGCTTGGCTTTTGCGTGAGGAGGTCACTCAGACCGGGAGCTGGGTCGAGTTACCCTGGCGACGTGGCACGGCCCCCCACTCCTACCCCTGACGGGGTGCACTGAGCCACTCCCTCCCCCCTAACGTGCCACACATTTGCATAACTACAGCAACGCTGCGTTTCGGGCGTCCACTCTTTAATCCATTAATTTTTTTCGTAGATAAAAGGAGTCGATTGGAAAATTCATTATTGTATCCACGTTAATCTGCCGGTCTTGATTGGGCCCTTTCTTGTGACATTCACTTCACTTCCAGAAGGTACATTATTCCTCCTATTCCTATATCTCTCTGGGCTTATTTTTTCCCCCTCTCAATATTGTGGGTAACCCCATGGAGCTTTACCAGCATTGTAGTCGCAATTGTAGTCACTTGAGTTTTGTTGTAGCAGTTAAAACCTGCCATCGAATTAATAATTTGCTGATGTGACGATGCGGTTCCATCAGCAGGGTGAGTCGCGCCCCCTCCTCCCACTATGGCATCACCGAGCTGTGAGGATTGGTTAGGGCATGGGGCAGCCTTCATTCACAACCAATAGTTATACAATTACTGATGATGATACTTAGTACAAGTCACCCTATGTCTGTTCAATGTTTATGTAGCTTAATTTGTAATTGTACTGTGATCAGTCTGAGATAATCTGCCCGAGGCAAGGAGTTTACTACAGGGAATGTATTGTTCTACATTCATTTATATCTATGCAATATTACATTTATCATATGACACACCTCTGTTTTTCTGTGATTTCGAGTTCCTTCGTTGCTGTGAAACATTTGAATTGTTTTTGCTTTTGGCAATTTGGTGACCCAGCTCACTCATCCTGGTCGCTTGAGTTGTCACCTGGTTACACAAAATAAACTTGAAATGTGGTGATCTGACATGTACGATTAAACTTGATTTGGCGCTTTCGTGACTGCAGGAATTACTCTTTGGTTTTTTTCGGTAAAGTCACGTAGAAATAAGAAATAATAATAAAATTACATAATAGCATACGACGTTTCGATTGCAACGCAAGCAATCATCATCAGGTATAGAATAGCTAAATTTAAGAGAGACAGGAAACACAGAACCGCAGATATATATACAGACACCTAAGTAGAGGGAGTTAACACAGAGACACAAAGAGACACAACGTACGGAGCACAGAGAGATAGGGTCTCTGTGCCGAGGCCTTAGCATGTAGGGGAGACAAAGAGAGATGGAGAAGCACATCAAATCGAAAAAGGTTTAGTAAAATTTGGAAACAATATAATGCAGCACAGAGGGTCGGTCAAAACACAATTAACGCATGGTCTGGCTGATTACGTTATTTCAAAGATTGCTAAATTATAGCTTAAGAGTGATAGAGTGCAGATCGCAGACACATATATAGACATCTAAGCAGAGAGAGTTAGCACAGAGACACACAGAGAGAGACACACACATGGGACACAGTGAAACAATGCTTCTGTGTCGAAGCCTTAAATAGAGGGAGAGGGGGGGGGGGCGGAGACAGAGATAAAGGGATGTTTGTGTCTCCGTGTATGTGTCTTGTCTCTCTCTCAAATGTCACACTTAACTTAAGTGTGTGTCTCTGTGTTGTCTCCACCTGTGTTTCTGCCTTTGTGTCTACATGTATATGTTTTGTCTCTCTCTGATTTTGTACCCCTCCCCCCTCACCACGCTGCAGCGGCAGGTGTGTGTGTGCCTCTACTTGCTCAGTCCAGTCCATGCTAATTTGTATCCCTTTATCCCCCCCCCACTCCCTCTATTTAAGGCTTCGACACAGAAGCACTGTTTTACTGTGTCCCATGTGTGTGTCTCTCTCTGTGTGTCTCTGTGCTAACTCTCTCTGCTTAGATGTCTATATATGTGTCTGCGATCTGTACTCTATCACTCTTAACCTATAATTTATCAATCTTTGAAATAACGTAATCAGCCAGCCCATGCGTTAATTGTGTTTTGACCGACCCTCTGTGTTGCATTATTGTTTCCAAATTTTACTAAATCTTTTTCGATTTGATGTGCTTCTCCATCTCTCTTTGTCTCCCCTACATGCTAAGGCCTCGGCACAGAGACCCTATCTCTCTGTGCTCCGTACGTTGTGTCTCTTTGTGTCTCTGTGTTAACTCACTCTACTTAGGTGTCTATATATATCTGCGGTTCTCTGTTTCCTCTCTGTCTTAAATTTAGCTCTTCTATACCTGATGATGATTGCTTGCGTTGCAATCGAAATGTCGTATGCTATTATGTCATTTTATTATTATTTCTTATTTCTACGTGACTTTACCGAAAAAAACAAAGAGTAATATACGTTTTTATGTTGAACTCCGTTCGCACCGTACGTAGCCAACCGTGCTATTCGGAGGTGCGGGGGGATGGACACCAAACTAAACACAAAAAGCAGTTATAAAGAAATTCGTTTGTCAATCTCGATTATTTAAAAGTGCATCGCTCCCAGTGGCTTCCTAATATCGGAAGGAAGAGCGTTCCAGATGGCCGCAGAAGCGTTTCCGAAAGTGCACGATGCGGTCACCATCTTTGTTCGATGGCCAGCCAAAAGCCGCTGCTGCGAAGATGACCCGAATTTGCTTGATGGAATCAGTATGGCTAGATAGAATCACGATGCATCAAGGGGAGATGGTTGGAGCTGAGTCTTCTCCCTATAAGCCTGTGCATTGCGTGTGAGTGTGCAGGGGGATGGATCTGAGTCTTCCCTCTCTACGCCTGTGCGTTGCGTGAGTGTGCAGGGGGTATGGATGTAGCTGAGTCTTCCCTCTCTACGCCTGTGCGTTGCGTGTGAATGTGCAGGGGAGATGGATGGAGCTGGGTCATGTAGTCCGCATGCCCAGCTATCGTATGCTGAAACCGCTTTTGTTCGACTGGATAGAGGGGGCTAAACGGGCGTGGCACGGGCTATAGAACAGATGGAAGGCTCACCTGATCGAGTCGCTAACCTTTCTCAAGAGATGCCCATTTCAAACCTTTTAAAACAGTCTGCCTCAGCAGCAGAACATGCTTTCCCACCTGATGACGGACGCTTGTGTTGCGCCAGAAACGTCGTAATTTATTTTATTTTATACCTACGTGACTTTACCAAAATAACCAAAGAGTATGGATTCCTGCAGTCACGAAAGCTTCAAATCAAGATTCAAATAAAGATTAGATGGAAAGATGTTGTACAGGAGAATGTGGAGCTGTGTGGACTTGTCGATGACTAATACCAGCTGTATTTGCCTCCGTGCAGTTTGCCGTTCTCTGTGTGCTGTGTGTGTGATGCCCCTCTGTGTGTTCCCTCGCTGTGTGGTTTACGCCATTTTCACCTGAGGACGAGCGCTTGTGTTGCGTTCGAAACGTCGTGATCTATTTACATTTTTATTTTATTTCTTTATACGTGACTTTACCGAAATAACCAATAAGTATAATACCAGCGGTGTTAAGATTGGCCTCTGTGGAAGAGGCTCGTGAAGGACGCTGCTGAGCAGTAGGAGGCAGTCGCCCTTCTCCAACAAAGGAGGGCGGAGGAGCGACGCTCACAACAACGAGCCAGCGGGCGTTGGACACTTCACGTGGCCTTAACATGCACATAGCCTGGCACAAGCGCCACTTAGTGGTGAATATCGGTTGTTGTTGATGGATGGAGCTGAGTCTTCTCTCTATAAGCCTGTGCATTGCGTGCGAGTATGCAGGGGAGATGGACGAACTGGGTAAGAACTGGCTCTCCGGGGTTTGTCTCTACGACAAGAACGAGGTGATGAGCAGCAAGCTGGACATCGACAATATGGCCGGCGTATTCTTCATGCTGTTGGTGGCGATGTGCCTCAGCTTCCTCGTCTTCCTTAGTGAGAACTTCTTTTACCGCTTTGGGCGCCACTGGACCAAGCCAGAGCCAGCCAAGAAGCCCGGGCTGCTGTTCATCGTCAGCAGGGTGAGTCGTGCTCCCCACGCCGACCACCACTCCACATTTATTCTGCCGTGGTAAAAGTTTTTCCAATAAATACGAACAGTGACTGCCGCGTTGTTTAAATGCAGCCACGAGCACTTGTGAAAGTAACGTACTCTTGGGGTGGCAACAACACATTGAGCCATCGACTATTGTCGGCTGATAAGCTCGCAGAAACACGTGTCGCATTGCGGGTGAACAAGTCGATGTCCTTTGATTTATGTATTGTAGGATTTACCTGACCCCACCCCTGCAACCACTACAAGGGGGGGGGGTGATTATGGGGTGATTAGGGGGCACAAGGGTGAGGGGTAAGGTTGTAAGGGGTGGCAAGGAAGGGGGGTGATGGGGGGAGGTTGTTAGGGGTAAGAGGTGGTTGAGGAGAGAATGGGTTGTGGGGGTGAAATCGTTCCAATCCATATGTAGGTCTCTGCATGTGTACATATACACCATAAAATAATACATGTGAACATATACATATATAGAGGTGCGGTATATGCAGTATTCACACATACATGATCCCACTTTTAAATTGACAAAATGTAAGACAAACGCTGACCCCCTGTTAACAGCGAGGAATGAGGACAACGCCACAACGCCATTTGATCAGTTCTGTCATATCTGCTCTCAATCCTGCACTGCTGCAGCTTCTCGGTGATTGCTTTGTCGACGTCGAAACCGCATTGGTCTGTGGCGCCATCGACTTGCAGCGTGCACGGTTAAACCGCGGCGCGATTTAAAAACTTTTCGTTCATCGCAAATTATAATTCGACTTTAATCGCAAGTTCGCCACGGGATATCACCTGATATCAGAATTAATTTATCGAGTGGCTCCTCTTATCTCTTTAATAAAAACAACAGGATAATCTCCGTCGTGTGGTTTTAAACTGCCCTTATCTGAAATTGAAAACGACGCACCTTTTGTGGGGGTGATTTACCTCTCAAAACCGCGCCGCCGCCAAGCGATCGCGACAAAAAGCGATCGCGACAAAAAGCGTGCGGAGTGCTCGCCTGTACCCCTGGTTCACGTGCATTACCACTTGGCCAACCTCTACCCACACAGGTGGCAGCCCTTACGCACCGTTGAACCATTCTATGTACGGGGTGCACTGAGGCTTTCGTGAGTAAACAAAAGGGGATTGTTTTTGTTATTGTTACGACAACTCCAGTAATACCCTGCTTGACGTCTCCCCCTTTTACGTCGTTTCGCCAAAGCGTCGTCACTTTAGATTCGCACGGTTGGCTACATACGGCGGTGCGAAATAAGTTGAACATATAACATACAATTTATTAATACATGATTTGTTTCGCCTCGATCCCACACTTACGTCGTTGATGGCATTGTCCGTCCTTCCTCGTTATCCGTCGTCTCTCAGCCTTCGCCTCTACCCACTCCTACCCTGTAAATCGCTTTGATTTACCTAATTTTGGTATTCATTGCACCTTTCACAAATGCATCCCCGACATTAACCCGGGTGTTGCTGTATTCCGTTATTATGACGATTAAAATTATTGTTATGATTTGGGTGAAGGGGAGGGGATAATCACGATTTCATTTTGGTCTCGTTTGTCTCATCTCATTCGCACGGTCATGTTCGTCTAATTACCCTCCACGTTACATTTGCGTTCACATTTTATGAATCGTAATCGAATCCTATGCTCGCACAATTTTACGCCTATGTTGTGAGTGGAAGAATCAATGGTAATTGGTGAATGAATGAATCGCTCTGATGCCGACGAGACGATTTCAAATATTGACTGCTGTGACTGCTGTGTGCATAGGGGCCCTTTGCAGGGCACTGTGTGGTCATTGCACTTGTACGACAGGCAAACGACCACCGGCATGCACCATAAGTGTCTGCTTCTGGGTAGTGCACTCTGACTATACAGCACTCACATCGGTGATCACTCTCTACTGTGGTGTCTGCTTCTGGGTAGTGCACTCTGACTATACAGCACTCACATCGGTGATCACTCTCTACTGTGGTGTCTGTTGCTGGGTAGTGCACTCTGACTATACAGCACTCACATGGGTGAGTACTCTCTACTGTGGTGTCTACTGCTGGGTAGTGCACTCTGACTATACAGCACTCACATGGGTGAGTACTCTCTACTGTGGTGTCTATTGCTGGGTAGTGCACTCTGACTATACAGCACTCACATTGGTGAGTACTCTCTACTGTGGTGTCTGTTGCTGGGTAGTGGACTCTGACTATACAGCACTCACATTGGTGACTACTCTCTACTGTGGTGTCTGCTGCTGGGTAGTGCACTCTGACTAAATATTTTAAGGGACCTGGAATAAGTCTCCCCTAACATCACCGTCTGTATTGTAATTGTCATCATCGTAATAATCTCGGTAAGCATCTTTATCATTAAATCTTGACTTAAATCTTTCGAGACTGCAGGAGTTCTTATTCTTTGGGTCTTTCGGTAAAGTCACGTTAGATAGGTTCAAAGAAAATAACAAAAAATCACAACAAACTACGCCGTTTTGAATTCTTGTTTTGCGATCGAAACGTCGTAGTTTTTTGTTATTTTTTTGTTATTTTCGTTGAACCTATCTACGCGGCTTTACCGAAAGACCCAAAGAACATCTTTATCATTCACACGATAAATCGTCACCAGCCATGATATAGCCACTGCTGGATGGTCTGTGATTCCAGAATCCATCTCACAGTAATCCACCAGGCAGAGTCATTGGCTTTCATCCTTTCCTGTGGTTTACCCTGCCCTGCCCCCCACTTACTGTCCTCATTAGTCAATCAGATGTCTCTGATTTGCATTTGCTCTTTGATCTTTGTGGTCCCTTTTCTGGCTTTCCGTGTTATTCCAAGCTTGCTTCCATCCACGCTTCATTAACGTTTCAGCTTTTGTTCAATTTTCCTTGTCAGTGTCTATGTTTCTGATCTTTTGCATAATAGTTGGCATTATGTAAGGATTGAAAAATTACAATTCAGGCCCACCAGTGCACTGCCTTTCATTAACCAAGGTCGCCTTTGCAAAAGTCACAAACAGCAAGTTCGGTGGGGGGGGACACGATTGTTTGAAGGACATAAATTAAACTGCTGAGAATGTAGCTCAGAGATTTACTGAAGGTGGATAGGAATCGTGCCAATGACATACAAAATCATCTATTGCTCTGTATCTGCACATAAACTTGGGATGTTGCTACGTTTTCCAGTGTCGACCAAACCCAGACATATTTATCAGTGTAGTTCTATCTTCAAAACCGTGCAGTGAACTGCACTAAGGTTCAACGGAGCAAGACCGGTACCAGATGTTTTTCCAAATCAACTCCCGCCTCCCAAACTCAGAGGCCAATTCTCCCTGGACTGTCCAGGTCAAACCCCGGAAGGGTGGCAACGCAGTGATATATTGCAGTCGCCTGCCTCCCAAAATTATATCAACAAGCAGCGTTTGCTTACACACACTAACCAGTTTGGGCCTAATTAGCAGTCAGGCATGCAAGAGATACACCGTCGCTTTAGCAGATTCAAGTGCTCGATCAGGGTTACACAGAGCGATCAGCGCTCCCTTCTGGCAGACTTTGTGCCGAACAGGGACAGCTGCCACTGAGGAGTCATCTTCTAACGAGATGCAATGCGAGGCCCTTTTTTGAGTTGCTGAGGCATTTGGGCGATGCCATATACATGAAAAGATTAAGATTATTACTAGATTCTGAACAGCATGGGCCATCAGCACAAAATGTAGTGTACAAAACAACGCATTCGTTGTATTACCCACAGTGCTCCACCACTGTGCCCATTGAGGTCTTGTACAGCTCATGGACCACACTAAACCGCATCCGCACAAACTATTGCACAGATTGAAATTTTAAACTCTACAGTGTGCGACTGTTATCATCCAGAACAGACCGTGTACCATATAAAAAACTCAATACCCAATCCACAAATATGAAGCAGACATTGCAGCAATACACTCTGCTGCTCCTGACGCGGTTGTCTGGCTTGACCACCTGAACGTGAAATTGTAGTCGTTCCTCTGCATCTGCATCAGCCATATGAAATAAGCTATTGCACAATATTCTTTTTTAGCCAAGTGCACTTTGCATGTCTCTGTAATGTAATTAATCAATAGGTGGGGCAACATGCAGCTAGGACAGTTCAGTCCCCTGGAGCTCGTATAGAATAATTCTAGAGATAAGGTGCTGACCGATACGATAAGTTTCATTTTAATTGTTAATTACCGTAATTTAAAAATAACCTAAATGCCACTACAAGCTGGGATCCACGGAGACAAGCGGAAGGGTTGGGGCCAGCTTGCAGTGGTGCTCTGCAAACGGCTGGAACGCACCTGCGTGACCCCATGGCAGCCAATCAGAGCTGCTGCCAGGCCCCTAAGCAGATACACTCAGAGGGGCCATGGCAGCGGCGGTGACCGATGCTGGGAAATTTGTTGAAACCTGTTTCATTGTCTGGTTTAAAACATTCATTATTTAAATTACTTGGGGTTTACATTCACCTTTTTAAAGTGCAATATCCCTCCCTCTCGCCTGCCCGCCCACCTACCCATATGACTCTCTGTGGCCTCATTACTGTTCCCAGTGATCTTAATTCGTGAACAATTTATATGCAAGTGATGAGAGGCATGCAGTAAAACAGTCTTTAATTATTTGTCATGAAGATTGCAGTATTGTATTTACTCCATGTCTCACGCAATATAAATTGAGTATTTAGTTGGACGTTCATACATTTATTTAGTTTCTATTTCCCTATTTTGAGAAACACCCATGTGTCACCACAGTATTCAAAAGTGATTTCAAACTGGAGACAGCATACGATTTATTTTCTCAATCAGAGTTTATAAAGGGCCATTTCAAACATTGCCACACATTTCTTTTCTTAACATTCTTTACACACATTGCGCGGGTCATGACATTTTTTTTTCACATCACCAAGAAAGCAGGAGTGTTATCATGATTATAGTGACTGTTTACAGCTAGATTTCCATCTTGGCTGATAGCTTTTTTAGTTATATTTTTAAAAGTAAAAACATGTATACCTTCCATAGGTACAATGTTTCACCAATGCTTTGTAGAAATATATCCTTTAACAATAAAACAAATCTGGTTCGTTTATCAGGCCATTTACAGCTGCGTACATGGAATCAAGATTACCAAGGACAAGGACGACTTCCACAGGATGGCCAAAAATGCCTACAAGAAAAACTCAAGCATCATGGGCCTCCTGACGGTGGCCAGGAACATGGCGAGCCTCACGCAGGTGAATGGGCCTGACGCGGCTGCCACTCGTGTCAACAGGGCGGGCCAGCCGGCCTGTTCAGTGGCTGCCGACAAATCGGCCGCGGAGCACCCGACAGGGCGAGCCGCACTCAACAACAGCGACCAGTGGAACCGCTGCGCCGCGGCCGCTGCAGAAGTGCAGCTCGCGCGCGATCCGGCCTACCAGGAGGACTACGTGAGCGAGGCCGAGATGTCGTACCCTTACCTCAAAAACAACCAGCGCTTCATGGAAGCCAACGTTGCAGCTCCTGCCGCCACTGGCAGCTACACCCCACGGGACCACAGCCCGGCGCAGATCTCAACCAACTTGCATCACTTTGGCGCGCACCCAGATGTCCACCGGCCCGTCGCCAAGTCGCGGGAAATGCTGTCTGCCTCGCCTTGCTTGGATTTCAAAAGCAGCCAGCGGGACGTCGGGGAATCTTTCATTCCGATGTGTGAAATTCCTCAAACTCGGCTTGAGATTCCAGCGTTGACTTACAACACTGACGTTGAGAGCATTCACGGGAACAACACCGACATCGACGACATCAGCGAATGCAACAGCCAGTACCACTCTGGAAAGCGCAGCGGCAGACCAAAGAGCACACCGTATGGAAAACTCGCAAGAGACTACAAAGATGTGGGAAGGATTCCCAGTCGGGGTTCAAGCCAAGACAAAGAGATCTATGGCAAAGCCACTCTCAACACACTTTCACGTGCGATGCCCGAAGACTGGAACAATCAGGCGAGGCCGTCTTTCTGCAGCGAGATCGTGTATAGGTCTGACATGCTGGAGCCTGGCATACAGATCAAGAGAAGCAGCAGCATCCCTGATCACGGGGCGACTGCACAGACAACCTCTGCCGCCGTTCCCTCACACCACACGCCAGAGAAGGAGTGCAGCATCTGCAAGGTAAAATATCAAGAGCCGCCATCTAGCGCAAGGGCTGAGTGCTACAGACATTGCCCATCGCGCCTGGATGAATGCACGGGTTCCTGCCTGAACCAGTGCTGCCCGGGCTGTGCCTGTGGCAGTGGCGCTGGGAAAACAGATGGCGAGCAAACAAGTGTGACATTGGGGCGAAGTGCGCTGGAGCGGCACGCCTCTTGCGTGCACGCGGACGAGGAGTGCTGCTATGGAGTCACTCTGCCTCCCCCGTGCATCACTCCCAACCCCGAGCTGCGCTGTAGACAGGATGATAGATGTTGCATCAACCAAGCAATCGGTTCCAATTACTCCACAGCTAGCAAGAGTGATTTTTGTGCTATCAAGTCAGACCCCGGAGGAAGCGTCGACTCCTTGCGAGGCTTTAAAGTCAAACCGCACCGTAGGCTTGAGAACGAACTCAATGTTTTCGGCTCCCTCAAAACGCCGTACGCATCGGACTTGCACACGCAAGCGTTCTCCGATACGGAGATGTTGTACGAAAATATCAACGTGCCAGACATCAGGAGGCACAGACAGCCCGCATTGGGCAGGCCGCTAAACTCGGGGGGTAAGTTGAGCAACGGTCCCGTGAATGTGAAAGGGCCGGGGCGGGCAAGTAAATCTCCTCACAGCCACACCCCAAACATGAGGCATGCGGGCTGCAAACATAGTATGGAGTCCGAGGTCTGAGGTGAACTACGGTTTTTATCACAATCCTCTTCAAGATTACATTTTCACTCGTGTACAAAAAAAAAACTCCTTCTTCAAAGATGCTGTTAATTGCTTTGTTCGTGTATTTATATACTGAGTAGTTAAACACAAAATAATAGCTGATACCTAATTTACTTAAACGTAAGATCGTAGTACTTGTGGTCCAGCTCCGGGGGTGGACTGCTCACACACGTCCCATGCCAACGAAAGGAGGCCCCAGTGAAGTTAAAGTAGATTCTACTTTAAAGCAAACTATTGTTTACAATGGGAATGTGAGCAAATATGAGGGTGTGGGGATTAGGGGTGACTTGTAGGATATTGCACGTAGCTTCTACAAATAACCGAATCACCTGCCCACCTTCCACACATGTACGAGTGCAAACGGCTTCGGAAAGACAGCTTTGAGCAATAACTGCCATGCAATCCGCTTTTGTAGGGTTTACTTTCATAATTGGCTGACGAAGTCTCGGAGCGTTAGGGACCTACTGTGAAGAACAACAATTGTGGCCGCAATTGCAAATCTGTACCCACGAGCCCTGTTAACTCACACTTGAGGCAGACTCTCCCTCTCACGGGGGGGTGAGGGTGTGTTTACATCAATGATGTTATTGATCCATATTGCTCCTTCCTACATATAATTCAATTGTGGAACAAATTGTACATTCGAAAATTATTCACGTGTGCTCCTGAAACAAAATAAAGGCACAGTGTTAATAATTTTGAAGTGCTCCATGACGGACAAGCGCATACTAATTGATCTGCCAGAAAAAAACCCGGTCAGTTTCAAAGCAGTCACAATACAACACTGTGCGAGACTCATCTAATTACAAGCTTATCTTTCTCAATTTAAAATGGGAATCTTGACAGCGGTAGTATACCATCTTGGTGTGACATTCAAAATAACGTGAAACAGTAGACGATTGTCCGGTTAAAATTTGCAATGTTATTTTTGCACCGGTAAAAATGTATATTGTAAAATGTCGCGTGTTGCCATTTTGTCATGTAAGGTAAATGATGTTAATTAGGAATTGCTGGAGATATCTCATTACTACCTTGTGTTTTTATAACAGGTCTTTATATACACATGAATGTGTGTTTCTGTACACAATACATACATGTAAAACCAGTCTTTTTGTTTACTGTCAAAAATGTAACAAAAAGTTTACATCTTAATTTACCTAAAATATTACTGTAATCGATGTAACCCAAAGTCATTACCGGTTACATAGTAGCCAGTAACAGAGGACTAATCCCTGGGATCGAATGCCTTGGATGAATATATCACCTATTAGCATAGTCAACCCTTAATTTATTGTGTGCTTATTATTCCATGTTTAAGGATGTGTAATAATTTTTTTTTTCAGAAATGTAACGGCATTGTTACCAATCTCCAAAAAGCCGGATATATCTAATACAATGAATGATTATTTTCAGGACATTAGATGATCATTTCCACCGCCAAAAATAGACCCGAGGTCTCTGTGACACATCAGTCATGCTCTGGTAATGTGAACATGAAGCTTAGTCAATTATGTGCGATTGTTTGGGCTTACAATATATGAACTCACCTGGCGGCAGTAGTATTTAAATGTAATGACCAAATCTCGGTTGTTTTGTATAATATACCGTGGTAATTATCTTTATATATTGTACTAGAAGGGTATTTTTTATTAGTATATTCGTTATTATTTTGCTCTGCATGAATCAGATTAAAAAATTACCCCGATTACTTAAAGAACAAAACAAAATGAAACCAGGCCAAATTTGTGTAAACTATGCGCTCCACATGCTTTTCCTCCTACAAAAAACCCCACATTGAGCATCACACATCTGCGTTGACATCGGGTAGATAAACGCGGGGCGGGCGGCTACATGGTGACACTAGCGCTAATGGTTGATAAACCCATTCTCTTCGGCCCCATTCTCACCAACGGCACAGAGAACTCCAATACTCATTTGAGAAGACCCAGCAACAGCCTGCCACCACTCTCCAGGCCCAGCAGGGAAATCGTAGGAACTACGTGAATGTTGCCGGAGGAGAGGATGATGTACAGTTTATATAAAGTATATATAATTGCAATCTAATCACAAACAGCTATGTAGAATGGAAACACAAGCATGCAAATGGCTTTCTTAAAAACATCTTAATATAATGGTGTTAGGTTCTAAAAGTTGTACAGTACTGTAATTGTATATTAAGCAACAACTGTGTATCTGCGATATCTAGAAATGCGTGCCATTGCTAGTAAACTACTATAGCTAGGATATGAATTTCACTAAAGCTTATTGCAATTCATGACAGTGCATTCATGTGTTATGTACGGATGCAGCTGTTTAATTCACGATGTTTCTGGAAAGTATCACCACTTTATGAACCCAACCAGTAAACTCTTAAAGCACCATACATGGCAGAAATTTGCATTTTTACACAGATATGGTCTCCGATTAACATCAATTATAGAAAAAGATAAGGTTTTTTTTTTTAAACGTGCACACACTTGGTGTTTTTGGGGCGGAAATAATATGAACGCAGTACAAGGATGTTGAATTTATTCCTTTTGTAAACTTGTTTCAGTTTCTGAAACAAGTTTATTGTGGTAGCCACAGGCAATGCATTATAATTAGAGAAGGCCCAACGCAATGAGGAACTGCTATTTTTTGAAGACGATTAAACTGCACATTGTATCCGTTTAATCCAGGTCCAGTATTTTTTGGGGATTATATATATAAACATTTTAGGTGGATCCTACAACTCAAGTGAGGTTCAGAATAGCCCAGTTCCCACAAAATTGCTCGCTCTGCTTTCACCGGATTTTATAATGCCGGCTGTCATCACGGAAACTGTTTAGCCACCACCTTTGAAAGGCAAAAATATTGCCAAGCTATGTTAAATCCTAACGACCACATATTATTATGGTAGCCAATCATCGTGGGTTAAGTGCACCGTGATAATCCTACACTCACTCAATGGTCCCACTTACAAGTTGTAAATACAATTCGAGACACTGCTTTGGCAGCGATGTACAATTACAGGACACAAAAAAACATCTCGCCACATCCATTAACACTGACCTCTAAAAAGAGGCAACCATTACCCGGGCGAACGTTTGGAGCATTCTCCCCTCTCCTTCCCTCAGCCCAGATAAAAGGAAGGCGGCCTGCTGCCCTAAACGTCAGCCTGCTGCTGCTGCTGCTTCTCTCTCTGTGTGTCGTGAAGCAGCGAGAGTTTCACACGACTGGCGTGATGGGTTGAGGCTCGCCCTTTAAACGGTGTGTTGGGTTTATTTTTTGGCCTAAACTGGGAGCACTTGTTTATCGATGCGTTTGTACTGAGCAATGTGAACTTTCATTTGACTTTAACTTGAAACTATGTATATTTATTTAAACATCGGGTAAAATTAAAGAAAAAATATGAAAAGGAAAACTATAATTTGAAGGGAAAATACAATTAGTGAGTTACCACGTGGCTACGTGGCACTCAGATGATTTGTAGAGAAACAATGACGGTGAGGAGCTATCCCCTAACTGTACTGCCCACAACGTCCCATTGTCCGTGGGGACCAGGCTATGGTTTTCCACATACTCGCTTTTGTTTTCCATCGTATTCCAAATCAAAGAGAGTTCACCGAGATTTAGCAGTGTACAATTCACGTGTTGTGGTTGTTTGCATCACGAGGATGGTGTGCGTCATCTCGGCTGACGCAACCGTATATATAAAGGAGATGAGCACAAACGCGTCTGGTTGTTGTCTGCAACGTCGTGGGAATGTTTCTGGTTGCACAGGCGATTGTGGCTGCAGGCCATGCGCACAACGTTGCGTGAAGTCTTCTGCACAGTACCGAATGGGCCATCACCTTGGAGCCACGGGTTGGTTGACCGCACATAATTGTGGAACTCGCAAACCTGCTTGGGTGACGTGATGGTCAGCAGATGCGTTCTCTATGAGTGTAAGACCTTCGAATGCGAAGGTTTTCTCTGGGTTTGTGGGTTTTCTACCACAAGCAAAACACTCCGTGGAATTGGCCAAGGATTCCAGCGTAGGATCCTCAGTGATGCTCTCTGCTTTCCTGGTTAAATAAACGATATCGACTATGGAATACATTGTCATCATCCATGGCCTATCCACTGCTATAGGAAGGTCGTCACCATCCCTTAACGTTCAGGCGATGCCACAATCCATCTCACACCTGCACCTCACCTGATCTCGTCACTTCATCTCCGCAGTGGATGTCCTCTCGGGCACACTACTTTGACTGCCATTCCATCACCAGTCTCGTCCTTTTAGCAGTCACCCCCTTATTTGTCTTGCCCAAACCAACAATACTGTACTTAATCGCCAAGATGTCTCTAATGTATACGTGTTCCCTGATCCATGTACTGTTTTTTTTCTATTTCAATTTATCTGTGTAATTGCCAGTATGTGACTCTCCATGAAACTTTGTGCACGTTTTAAGCCTTTTGCTCCATTATCTTTACCAGTGTGTATTATGTTTTTGACCCATACATCAAAGGATCATAGCAAATAATACGCACTGGTTGAAAACTGTCTCATTTACCAAATTAAGTTTTTAAAAACGTTCCAACATTTTGATCCGAAACCACCCTCGATTGTGGCCTCAGGTAAACATATACTGTCGTATTTGCCAGGTAACTTTCCTTCAACAATTTTTGTTTTGTTAGGAATAAGTTGATGCCTGTATCAGTTTCCACTGAATAAAAACAAAAGCCCTTTTATAGTCTACAAGAGCCAGGAATAGAGGTATGTTTTTCTTTCTCAAATCTGACTGATTGTATGTATGTGGTCCACAGAAAAAACAGTATTTAAAACCAGTCGGTTCACATGGTTGGACTCAAAATGTTTCATTATTCATTTACATAAGGCCTCTGTGAACAATGTATATAATGCGATTCGAGAGGTATTGGTTTGTAATCCTTCACATCGGGGTTGTCTTCCTTAATGGAAGGATGAGTGGATGGTTGAGGTCAAACCTAAGGTATTTAATTTCTGCGTAGTAATTTAGTAGACCTGCGAATGTTGTTACACATCTGGTCCTACCTCTATAAATTATGATGCTTACAGGTAATCCATCCAGGCCGGTAGCATTCCTGGATTTCAAAATGCAGAGTGCAGCAGATGTGTGACATCTGAAATTTCCAATTTCCTCATAATAAGATTGATTTGTTGAGCCATATGATTATTTTTGCTTCTGAGATCTGCAAGCATTCCTCTGCTAGTTTAATGATTGTCTACCATGCATCATGGTTCCATCTTGTTCTTTAAGGGGTACTATTTGTGATTTACCAATCATCAACTTTCTTTTTGCCACTTTCATGCTCCCATCTTGACAGCCTCTTCAGTCACTATTTGTTGTGTTCTCTGACATATCTCCTCATTCTGTTTCAAATGCTTTAACGAGGTGCTGTGTATCTTTGATCTGGTTTCGTATTTTCAATCCCTCTTAATATCATTCATTTTATTCATGGTGCTTTTTGGCAGTTGAATAAGCTGATGAACAGCCTAAACAGGATGGCAAACAATTTTGGATCATATATGTCGAGAAAAATAAAGTAATAACATTCACATGATAAAGTGGCAGTAAGTTAAATATCGAAGTGGACTTCAAATGGCGAGCACAGCAGAAGCGGTTCAGGCATCTTGGGAGGTATTTTGACAAAATTTAGCAGATGCTCAAAGTTGGTTCGAACTAGAATTGCAATGGGAAAGCACATTCAGCAAAAAACAAGGTGCTGCTGACAAGACATGTGTAGGGATTAAAGATGATGCTCATAAAGATCCCAGGGTGGGGTGTTCCTTTTCATTTGGCAGAGATGTGGACACTGATAAAGGGAGACAACAGAAAGCTGACCATTTTTGAGATTTGCACGGTGTCCATTCGTGAAAATAACAGACAGACTACAATAAATTGCTCGAATGGGTTGACGAGGAGAGATGCCTGGAACGATTCAGAGCAGGCAAAAGTCTGGATTTGGCATATTACCGGAGTGAAAGGGATGCTGTTGGAAGCTCTAGGAAGATGCATATTATGACTTGCAGAATGGAAGGCTGCATGACGAAAGAAGAGCAAGCTCAAGGTTGGAGAGCATGGAAGAAACTTGAGCTAAGAACCTGCCCTGAGGCAGAGAACATGAAGAACATTTGGGGACATTTCCTCGACCACAACTCCAGGTCCCACTCTCATACTCCCACTCATGTCCCACCACTCACAAGTTGCAGAGTTGGTTAACCCCCCCCACCTTGTTAAACAGTGGCTCGTGCGCTTCGACTGAGTAGTGATTGGAGGGCACAAGCGTAAGGAAAAAGTGACAATCATTGCAGTCATCATCTTTTTCAGGCAATTCTGTCATTTTATTGGCAGGTGTGGTTCCAGATGTGTTGTATCGTTCGTCAAGCTGCCCAAACTCAGAGTTATCATGCCCCACTGCAACCCGCGCGTCCGTAGTCACATGCCCGATTAGCATTTAAATGAGCGTGCACATATTTGGAAGTTGATTAAAAAAAGATTGTGGTAGTTATTTTTAGATGCATCTTATATGAAATTGGCTGTAAAGTTTTATTTGCGATGTAACAAATCAAGCAGTTAAGAGTCTCTACACATGGGGCTGCTTATCTCCTGAGTTGTTAATAACAGTCTTTATAGTCACGTCACAGTAATGTTCTTGGAGCTTTGTTGACAGAAAGCCTGTGGTTTGTTGATTGCTTTGTGGCAAAAGCAAGAACATTAATTTATTCTAAATATGTTTTTTTGTATTAAAATTTTCCTCATTAAAGGGAAGACGACCAACACAACAAAATAAGTGGACATTATTACTGTGATGAAATGTCAACACACGATATCTATTCATGAAAAAAATGTAATCACTTTATGTAAAACACAAAATTGCTTTATACCTGAAATCCACGCTCTTTCATGGAATTGAATGCAGGCAGCAATCATGACAATGCTTAAGCCCACAGTTCTTTAAGCGATAACGTTATGTACATGCTCCTTGACAATCTCATCAGAGTGTATGGCTTCTGCATGAAGCTGCGAAAATAGTAATTACTCGTGAGTGTTTCATAATTTGCACGGGTGTCTTGCTTTGCAAGCGTAGGATGTGAAAATCGCAGGACGCTTACATTTAAAACTTGGGGGAAACATTTTGCCTTCATGAACACCGCTGAGGATGCCCCCCTCCCCGCGCCCCCCACCATACATCTGTAGTGATACACTCAGAGACACTAGGAATAAGAGGCACTCTATTTATTATAGCCTTCACAGGGTACAAGGGGTAACTACACTTCAGTCAGGATAGCTAACAGACTGCCTGACGGACAACGCCGAGAAGGTGAAGACGGTGACGAAGTCTCCAGTAGCCGGACGGGATTCCACTCCAAACAACATCCCCAAACCTTCGCTTGGGGTCCCCTTTTATCCTCCTGGCGTGGCCTCGCTCCGTCCTCAGCTACGCCCCCCTTCTGGAACCTACTAGTGAGTTCCCGGGCTTACCTCACGTGCCTCCTCTATCACCTTTGCCCTTCATCCCCATCTCTGCTTATCACGTGACCTGCTGACAGACGGGGCTGCTGCAACCGCAGATCCCTTTCCCTGTTAGCAACCCGCGTGATGCTCCATAGTGACCCATCCTATGTCACTACACATCACTCAGCCGAGCGAGCTCTTAACGAGCTCAAGATTGCCTGGCCGCTCAGGTTTCCACCGAAGAAAGTCCAGCTTCCTCAATCATCACATTCATAACTGTTCCATGTTTCAAGATGCGCAGCTTAGAGATGATAGATAATAAAATATCCTGCATTAGGCTTTTGAGCAGTCCTATACTTCAAATGAAAGTGCTTTCCAAACACAATTTGGTGCTCCACTCATTTAATTCAGTGCCAAAGCAATGCAACTTTTATCCAAGTTGCTTCAGCAGTTGAGGTTTGCCACTGCAAACAGAAAAGAGCAGATTCACCCCTAAATTGCAGTCTGTTTGCCTCCAGGAACAAAGTGTGCAGCTCTCACATCTTCTGCCCCCAGGGTTTGAAAATCCCCCCCCACCCCAGCAGCCATCCGTGCTCTCAACTCTCTGTTCAAGCCCAGGCTCAAGACCGTTCTTCTACGAAATATAACATGTCCATCGTCCCTGTATAGCGGCTTTCCATGCAATCACATTTTGCCTCCAGATAAACTCAGATAACAGTGTCTGGCCAAGCCCAGCTTACGCACAGATGTCCACTGCTTCGATGCGTCGGCTCCCACCATACATGGCACTTGCACCACGCTGCAACTAGAGCACACTATGTATGGTGGTACTCTGTACATGACTTTAAATTTCTTTGCATTGCAAATTAACGAAGCGTCAAAGCCTTTACCAGATAGCCTGGGACATGAAGCCTATTTATGTAGCGACGCGCTATGTTCCGTTTGTGTTTTGGGTTGTGTCTTCCCTTAGGTAGTGTGGCACAAAGACAATATGGCCTGAGGCACATGCTGTACCATGGAAAAAAAACTACTTCCAGTTTGTGACTGGGTGATGTGAGTTTATTACAGATGTCACCTACTGAATGCTCTTCTTCAGAAGTGTAATATGCCTCAAACATTTACTAAGGACAAAGCACCGGTCGTGCCACTTCATCCTCAATCCCGCTTTTTGTTCGGTGTTTGCTGCACTGGGATACGTGGCATTGAATAAATGGATCAAGGTAATTGCATGGGGCATTACATACATGGCCTCTAGTACATTTTCTCTCCCTTGATTAAAGTAATCTGAAAGTATCAGAAGACAATTAAACATTTTTTTCAGTCGTGTCTGCTTAATGTATTTGTCAACTTTGCGGAATAGAGTTGGATTGGGCCACAAGACAAGTGGAATATTCCCTGTTTCTGGCTGAATGAAGTTGAGATTCAAATATGTGGGAGCCGAACTCGTCGGAGTGTAACTTTGTCCGGTGGCCTAGACTACCCCCACGTAACGATGAGCATGTATTTCATCAGTTTAGCTTAACGGTGACAAGTTAATTATCAACTAACAAGTTGCTCATCCAACAGAAATCCTTTTACATTGCGATGTTGCCGATAACATGTTGAAATTCATCACGAGGCTCTAGTGATAGATACAAAATTGAAAACTCCCATCCATTCCATTTCCAGAATGTAACACGATACCCCCCATTGCCAGCCTGTAGTGCGCTGACTGGATTAATTTCATTTAGCCGAGCTCCCCTCTTTGTAATCGAGCTGTTGAAATTGATAAGGATAAGTGTAATGCTATGAATCCTTTTTTCTTTCTTTCTATATAAAATATAATTCTAAAATTACTTTTCTTATCTACAAAAATGTGGAATAGATATTTTTTTGTTTACAATGCCACTCGTCTAATTTTTTTGTATCCCCAAAAACTCAGCCAGGATTGACAACATGAATTGAGGGCCTATTTCTTTTCCGGGGTTAAAATTCTCATCAAAATGGATTGGAAATGTAGACTTAAGGAAACTTCTTAGAGCTATTTACGGGGTTTATTCCAGTGGCAAAATGTCAAGTGAGAGAAAAAAGAATACGGCTTTATTGCCAATTTTGTTTACCACTGATGTCTGCGGGGAAGAGCACTTGTACCATGTGATTGCAGCCATCGCTGCAGGAGAAAACAGGGTGTTGAACTTATGGGAAGAGCGGCTGCCCAGATCTCTCTTTCTCTCGTTCTTTGGGACAGCCACGGAAAACGTCCCAGTGGCCGGTAGAGATGCGGCGTCAATGGCCACGTGAGCACTTCGTGTAGACAACGGCGATCTCCTGTCACCCGCGTCGTAGTCACCTTGATTTGGTCATTGCTAGTAGCGAACGTTGTAATTTATACGTTTGTGGATGTTACAGCTGTGCAGTATAAAATAGTGGCTTTCGAATTAATTATTTTTTATTCATTCAAATCGTTGATATGAAAACGTTGACATTTAAACAATTAATTGTCAGAACTAAGAAAAATACAAAATTGTTCGGGATTTAGAGGACGTGATTTATATATGAATGCACTCATGAATGAACTGACTTCAATGAACCTTGAATTCTAAGGCACTGTTAATGGCAGTATTAAAGTATTTTCAGCCTAGCGATCAAAAGTACTTGATTGATGACAATCCTACTTTTGCTTGACACAGCCCGTCTGTCCCCCACTTTACCCGAGGGTACAATCCTTTATCTCCCTGCGTCGAGTCACCCTCGTTTTCACTGTCCCCCAAAGGTCGTGACTTTGTACAAACAGGGGAGGTCACACGATTATAAAGTGTGCCACGGAGGTTGTGTTAGTGTGTGAGCTAACCAGTTTTGTTTTGTTTTTTATTTAATAGATCCAACTAGTTTTAAAGTTGACGCTTTTTTATTAGTAATGTCACCGGTTCAAGGTATATGCATCCGTAACTGTGTTTTGGAGGTTGCACTTTGAGACCTGTGTTGTGAATTGCACATTATAAATAAAGATGATGGTTATGATGATGGTGGTGGTGGCGGTGATGGTTGAGGTGCTATGATGTGACAGGAATTGAAAGCTGTTCGTTATAAAGAGATTGCAGATATTGCTGACGAGCCATTTTATGACGGAATTACAGTCTTGGATATTTAACTAAACTGCGATGGTCTGCTTCCATACAATAAAATAAATCAATGCACAAGTAACTATCAAAAAATAATAGTGGGAACACGTCTTATGTCAGCATGGTAGATCAGAGACTGATCGTGGAACTAATACGCTTGAAATTTACAGTGAAAATAAATTTAATGTAATAATGATTTTACAGCGCAATGGCAATCCGTTGCTGGATGAAGACCTCCCTGTATCGTGTTGGTCACAGGGGTTGTTTGACCCCAACTTCACCACACTTTGTCAGTGTGGATTGGTGAAGGGGGGCAGGGCCGTATGCGCTGCCACTCACCACTGCGGTTGGAGATGTGGCAAACAGCAGAATGAAGGCACACACAAACACGAAGGCGGCGATGACGACGGCAGCGATGTCGAAGGCACTGAAGACAGAGACAAATATGATGGCCAAAATGGAAAGTGTCCATTGTTGCGATGATGATCATGGTGATGACAACAAGTATGCTTTTGCTTATATGAATGAAATTGATTAAACGTATTAATATTATGGCGACGTTAATGTTATCGCTATTTATACTGCTGATGCTATTACCATTGTTCCTGATCCTAACCCTCCGCTAAAGAGGGAAAATTACGAAGATAGACATCGACATGATCACGGCACAGAGAAGTCACCGAGAAGCCCAAAATCCCAGTGCTGGGATACAGGAAGACCAGACCTCGCAGGTCAAGTGTTGACTGTGCAACAGTTTTGGAACATGGCAAAGGGAAGGAAGTGGTGGCAAAGGTGTTGTGGCATCAACATCATTGACATGGATTACATTTTACCCTTGAGCTTTAATCAAAAGTAGTAGCCTAGAAGTTTCAGAAACAAAAGTGGAACAACAAATGAAACATTGATCGTTGGGATGCGAAGCACAGAATTGCTTTCTGTACACGAGTGTGAAGTCACGAGTCGCATGTCTCTTCTGTGATATTTCAACATAAATGCACTTAGCAGGTGCACTCTGAGCATTCTGTTTATTTAGACATTTACACACCAAGTGTAGCCCCACTGCAAGCATTGTGAAACCAAAAATAATCGGAATCATTATTTATCCTGAAGAAATACGATGAGCTATAGAGCTCTTTTTCACAGATGTCCGGAAGGGCTGGTCAGAAAATTACAACAATAAAAAAGTAATGAAAAGTACAGGGAAGGAAAAAAAACTAAATATAAAGTATATAATTTTTTATTGCATAAGCTTGGGCAAGGGATAAAAACAACAGCATAAACAGTCCCAGACAAAAACAAAGTCAACACAAAGTCCCTCAATAAACTATTTGGTTCGTTCGGTAAAGTCACGTAGAAAATAAAATAAAATAATAAAATACGTTTCGGTTGCAGCACAAGCAACCATCATCAGGTAAGAATGAATGATAAAACACAGGCACGGAAACAACAGGCAGACACACATGCAGAGAGAGACACACACAAAGAGACACCGAGCGAGACACACACCAAGGAAACCCAGGCACGGAAACAACATAGGCACACACCTGCAGAGAGAGAGAGACACAAAGATCAGGAGGGTATACAAGCAGGGGTCGTCCTGTCATTTAAAAGTTTGCCACTTCGTTATCTTATCTAAACGTAATTTAGAAACTGTAGCAGCTTAACCACAGCGCTTTACAGAGAATTAACAATGGTACATATAAATTATAATGAAGATGAGGTGAATAAAATAGATGAGAGGAAGTAATGGGCAAACCTGTTATGGTTGAATTAAGTAAAAGCAAAATTGACGAGAGCAAATGATAATGATGAATGGATTGGATGGGGAATGAGTGGGAGCTATGGGGAGAGATTATGAATGAGTGGTAGCCATAGAGAGAGATTATGACTGAATGGTAGCCATGGGGAGGATTATGAAGAGAGAGCAGGCACGTTCGTGGTTATAAGAGGGAGATTGAGGGGTCGTGGGATGAGCTAGAGAAAAACGTGAGTTTTCAGGGAGGAGCGGAAACTAGTGAGCGAAGATGACTACTTAATGTGTATCGGAAATTTGTTCCAGTGAAGGGGAGCGAGAAAGAGCGAAAGGGTGGATTGAGCACAAGGAGGAGGAACAGACAGAGGCAACAGAGATTGAAAACTTAGAAGGTGAGAAGTGGACATAGAAAGATACAGGAGTGGCAAGATAGGGTGGGGCAAGATCATGGAGGAATTTGTAGACCAGGGTGAGGAAATTAATGCAACGATAATAAACAGGGAGCCAATGCAGTTGAGCAAAGAGAGCCCGAGGTATGAGAATTGTAGTGAAGGCTAAATGTGGTACGTGCAGAGGCGTTTTGCATTTATTGAACGGGAACAAAGGCATGAATGGGGAGACCAAGCTTAAGAGAGTTACAGAAGTCCAGATGAGTTACGATGATGAGTTTTACAGCAGAGGTTGAAATAAGGGGTTAGATTTTGCGAAAAGGGAGAGGGAAGAGTAAAAAATAACACTCAGGTTGTAGGCTGAGGAAATCGGGGCAATAGAAAAAGGAGGAGAAAATATGGTAGGACAGGGAGGAGGAAAACGGGAGGCAGGGAAAAACATAATTTGGGGTTTGGAAGGTTTGGACAGGAAGTGGCATGATTGTATGATACTTCATAGATGTGCACGGAGATAGGGCTGCAGCCAGGAAAGTGGTGTGCCAGAAATACTAAGAAAAGAGAGAGTAGAGAGAAGTATAGGATGGTTAACCGTGTCGAAAGCTGAGGACAAATCGAAGAGTATTAGAATATAGGAGAGACTAGCATGAGCAGAGTTAGCCAGATGATTTTAAACTGAAAGAAGAGCCGTTTCGGTTGAATGAGAGGGACGAAAACCAGATTGGAATTGGGAGTAGAGGGAGCTAGAAGGGAAGAAGTGGGTAAGACAAGTGAGTACCAGGCATTGCTTCTTCCCGGTGTGTGCTTGGATGAATCCATCCACATCCCTCTTCATCTTCATTGAGGTTGTGCCAGAGAATGGAGAATGACAGTACAGAAGCAGTTCTTTTCTGAGGAGGACGCTTTTGTTCCTGGCTTTTGTTGTGGACTGGCCTTTTTGAACCTGGATGACACTTTGTGTTGGTGGTTCCCTATATGGTTTCAAGCGACTTGGGTGGACCACCATCTGGATGCATACACTTTGTGGGCGAATAACCTGGACAACCTCCACAGGACTCTGTCAGGGACGGTGCAGTTTTGCCAACGTGCCTATCTGGACATGGGGACAATGTAACCAGGCCTTATCCCCTTGTTGAAAAGGCAGTTGAATTTCTGTTTTTCTCCGCACGCATTTGTTTGTCGATTGCGATCTGCTGGATTCTGCAATTGCGCCTTTGCGAGCTTCCCACAGCCTTTCTAGTGACACTCTGAGGGAAGCTGGCCACGATACTGATTTAGCCGGGAGAGCCACAAGTTGATCTTCAATCGGTGGCTCTGGATCTCTCTCGTACATCAAAAAAAGGGAGAGAGCCCAATCAACGCGTGCAGCACCCTTCAGTATCCACCCAGAACTCCTGGGATGTGCAAATCCCAGTCTGTCTGGTCGTCCGCGACAACATGGCACACCATTGCAGACAGCGTGCAGTTGAGCCTTTCCACCTGTCCATCAGACTGAGGGTGATACGGCAAAGTTCTAATTTTCTTTGTGCCTATCATGTCTCAGACGTTGGGCAGTAGTTCGTAGATCAGGGTCGAAAATGTTCAACCCAGATTTACGAGCAGTTTTTCAGGGGGGCCTTTGTCCAGGACGTACCCGTGGTGAAAGGCCTCAGCCATCTGGTCTGACAGTGGCCATGGTACAGGCTAAGGAATACAATATTCCATCCAGACAAGCAAATAATTATTACCCTTGGGTGTTTTTGGGAACGGACCAAGGACGTCTAATGCTACCAGCTTCTGCCGTAGCTGATCACTGTTACAACGCTGTGGGTTATCATGATATTGTTTTCTCCGATACCAAGGTACTCTGCAAACCTCCCGGTTATTACCAGAGATTTGTCTACGAGGCCATCCAGATATACAAACACAGACACAACTTCAACCGAGAGGATAGTTTCAAACTAAGCAGCCATTGGAAATATGTTATAAATCAAGTCAAACGTTAGCTGCCTTTTAATTGTACAGCAATTTTCAGTGGTGGTATGCCAAACTTCAGCTGCTTCTTTTGTTTTTAAAAATGGGGCGAACTCGCACGCCATCGCCTCCCCCCGAACCCCCTGCAGCGTAACAAAAAGGCGGCTTAACTCAGCCCTCCCACCCACCCACGTTTCCTTTTTGGCTCCCCCCCCCCCTTAACCTATATATAAACCCGATCGTCTCAGAGCTGTGCACTTGACAAAGATATTCTGCTGTGACTATTCCACCTGAAGACGGAAGCTTGTGTTGCCTCCGAAACGTTGTGATGTAATTGTTTTCTTTTATTTTATTTTACCGAATAAAACCATAGAGTATGAATCCTTGCAGTCACGAAAGCTTCAAATCTAGAATTAATAACCTCTACGTGGAGGAGTTTCACCTATCTTTTAGAGCTTTTAACAGACAACGAGATAAGAAGTCACAGCTCATCGAGACGCTGACCTTCCTCAAAAGATGCCGCGACAACAAGGTAATACCCATCGCTTTCACACTCACATCTGCTGCTGTATCTTCACTGAACTCTAAACAGATTCTGTTTAAGGCTAGCCTATCATTAATCTCAGAGAGGATAAGTTTACTCCGATTTGAACTCGATAGTTTAGACAGGACTCTCCTACAATCTCATTTAATGTTAACACAAAAAATGTCACATTCTGATTGGAACCACGTTGACAACATGACTGCTTCCTCTGCTGATTCACTGTCAGTCAAATGCAAAGCTAACCTGATTGCTAAATTCAACCACCT